ACACATAACACATAACACGGTAAGCACGAAGCTTAGTGAGTTCCCCAAAATAACACATACACATATTAGCCACTTGAGGCTATAACTCTGTAGGACCCTACGGTCCGATGTGTCTCAATGGGACCCTCGAGTTCCACGGCTCGTTGGACCCTCTGGTCCGGTCTGGGTGAGAACCCTCCGGTCTCACTATTCGTTGGACCCTCCGGTTCGGTCTAAGTGAGGACCCTACAGTCTCATAGCTCGTTGGACCCTCCGGTCCGGTCATAATATAGCACAGTACGTTGGACCCTCCGGTCCGGTTTATATATAACATAATATAGCACACAACACATATCACACATAAATTGCATAACTCAAGCAAACACATAAGACCCTCTGGTCACACATAATTACCACTCTAGGTAAAGTATAGTGAGAAGACTCACCTTGGATGATGAACAGTCCCTATAAACGTTGCTGCTACGTACCGGCCTCTAACTCTGTGCCAACTTCACAATTATCCCAATTAGGAACTAATTCTCAACTCTTGCTCATTAGGTCTAAAGGAAGTCCACTAACCAGCCCATCAATGACCTAAACCCCCCCCCCCCCCATTAGGCCCACCAAGGCCCAATAATAAATGGGCTCTCTCGAGGCCCAAATCTCTCATCTAATGGCAAGCCCAACTCAAAGCCCAAAGCACATATATATAATCCTCTGGTCCAAGACTCTATTGCAACAAGTCCAAACTCCAGGCCCAATACTCAAGGCCCAAAATGAGACTTAGCCCAAAAGTCCACAATGAAGTTACGCGGGGCGTACCTCTCTTGGTACGCTCCGCGTACTTACGAATCCATATTATCCATCGGGGACACTGGGGCAGTACGCGGGGTGTATAGGAATTACGCTCAGCGTACTCCCCAGATTCACTCTTTCTACTCATTTGGTCTTAAATAGTTAAGACATTACCTCAAACCCCAGATATGGACTCCCTAATGGAACTTACTCCATAAATTCAGTGACTTTAAGCCTTTGCATGGCTGGAAAGGTCACAAACACCCAAAACACTCACTTCCTTATCTTAAAAACCTCCTATCTCATGCATGGCTTGATTCTAACATCCAAGATTGGATTTTTATGACATAACACCAACATATATACTCAAAGGGACACATATTATGCTCTGGAGTTCAACAACTCATAAAGCTTCAAGCTTTGGGACCAAAAACCCTAAAATGGACCCAAAACAAAAACTAGCACAACAATAAGCAAGTTCAAAACTTGATACCTCTGGAAGATGCACCAACAAGAGAAGAACATAGATCCAAAAGCTAGGTGCTCAAGCTATCCTCTTTCAAAGCTCCTTCTTCTTCAAAATCCAAGTGATCACCTCACTAGATCCACATGAGAAATCCACCAAGATTTAAACTTTATGCTTTCTGGAGCTAGATCAACATGAATAGGGATTGGATCCACAAGCTCCAAGCCAAGCAATGCTTCCTCAAGGAACTCCCTCTTCCATAATATGCACCAAAAACTCACCAAATCACCAAAAAGATCAAGAATCACTCAAAAAGAGGCTTAGGGTCAATTTCTAGGGTTTAGAGGGATGGAGGCTGAAGATATTAGGGTTAGGTTATGAGATAAGAAGCTTAAATAGGGTCCAAGACCCTAAAATAGCGTTCAGGTCTGATTGGCGTACGTCCAACGTTCATATGGTCCGCCCAGCGTACTCTGAAGAACATTCGTGACCACCCCGGGTTAGTACGCCCAATGTAATCCAACATTATGCCCATTGTACGTTTATGTACGCCGAGCATACTCGGCTAAGCCTACAAACCCCAAAACTTCTGAAGGCCATAACTTCTTCGTTATAAATATGTTTCCAACGATCCTTATATCCACGTAAAGGTAACGAGAAGACCTACACTTTTATCAACTTTATTCCTCCTAAAGCTCACTCGAACTCAAATCCAAAATTCATGAAAAGCCCGCACCAGCTCCTTTAACAATACATTTGGGCTCTAAAGCATAAACCGAACTCTTTTATCACACAACCTACCTTACCCATATCCCAAAAAGGCCTAAACCTTTCGCCTTCAAAGCCTCAAAACCTTCTCATACTCGGATTAAGGCCCACGAGCCTTAAATTACAAAACAATCTAGAACAGGATGTTACAATTTATCAAAACAAACCAAGAAATTAAAGAAAGATGATTATAATATCTACCCACTGCTATATGAAAAAATGTGAAAAGTGAAATAAAATAATACCTTTGTTCTCTTGGGAGATCCATTTCAACCACTGTCCTCCATGCCCCTCTTATGGTCCCAGAAGTCCAATGACAATTGCAAGGATGGAAATATGAAGATAAACAGACGGGGTAGTTGAAGGCGATACACAAGCCCACAGGTAGTTACAGTCGGTGGCTGACTGAGATGAGAGAGATATTAGGTGTAGGAATAGGAAATTTGGTAGCTGAAAACCCTTTTCAATCCCACCTTGGATAAAATCTGGTTCAAAAGTTCTCCCATTTCACGTAGCCTATTAGGGTTCATATAACCATTTCAAACACATTAGTAAATGAAAAGTGTCAATTAGAGGAGGCTTCATAGAAATAGAGATGATACCATAGCAGTGTCGATGAAATGGAAGACCAATTTCAAGTAAGAAATTGGCAAAAATTCCGATTCTAAAATGTGTAATCAGCGGAAGATTTAAAATGAAAACAATTTTTTGAGTATTGGACAAATATTCAACAAAAGGCGGAGTGAAAAATTACACCAGGTCTAGGGTTTCTTAATGGAGGTGCTCAATGGTTGCGACAAAGGATGGTACGGTCGTGAATTACGGAAGCCGACGATTGTGATAGCGAGGATGACGCTAGTGGTGATGATGGATTTAGAGATGATGGGAGGCGGTAAGTTTTACGCAAGAAGTTTGGAGGGACTGACAGAAAATATGTTCTTGAAATTAAAAAAAAAATTGATATTAAACACGGATTTAAAGGTTGGAGGGCAAATTCGGAAGTTCACTTTGTAATTTCTGAACTAAGAAGACGACACGTAGACAAAATTGATTCTTTTATTAGGGTAAGGATTTTTTTAAAGCCTTGATATGTTTTTCATCACAAAAGGGTGGTGTGAATATTCTATTGAAGATTTGATCTTTAATGCAAGTCAATTTTTTTTTTAACCGACAAATCTAATCTACTCCTAAGCTAACAACACTTATTTCACCTATGTCCACGATGAGATTTGAACCATCGACCTCAAAGAGGGAGGACACCACCTGATAGGGATGAACAATTTGTCCCAAATCTCGATCACGTACCGGTACCGTACCGAATTTAAAAATATGAGACGGTACTTGGTACTCCAAATACATGGAATTCGGGAATCGGTACTGGTACTAGTACCGAGTACTGGTACCGGTGATGTTAATTTGGTTCGGTACTTGGGATTAACTTTTGATCAAATTCGGTATTCGGAAAATCGAAAACGGTACGGATCGGTAGCGGTTCCGTCCCACGCTCATCCCTACCACCTGTTGGGCTACAAACCCTTTGGTAGAGGTGATAAGCATATAAATCTATTAACATTTCCGGTGAAATAAATACTTATAAAGATTGTGTGACTAGCTTATTTGGTAGAGGTGTTTCTTTTTAAATTGGAGGTCTCGAATTAGGATGGTGAATTTTACTAACATAATTTATTAAGAAGTGTATGGCATCAATTGTATTTAGAGGTGTTTTATTAACATGATTTATTAAGAAGCGTACGATATCAATTGCATTTAGAGGCATTCATGCAGTTTATAAATTTTGCGAAGTGGTTTGTTATTTGTTATTTTGTCAAACGGCAAGGTCTTTCAACCATTTGAATGATTTAAAATAAGACGAGTATGGTCTATAAAAATTATATACAAGTAAAAAAAAGTTAGGTGTAAGAGGACTAAGGGTTTTAAGAGGTGATTAGGATTTGCTTATTTAAAACAATTTATGTTTAATGTTTAGTTAACCTTATAAAAAACTTTCATAAAATACCATAAATGCTTAACCTTATGATAATTTTTTTTTCTTAAACTTAACTAATTTATCATTTATCTATCTTAACTGTTTTATTAAATCCCTTCATATAATTATTATTAATACTAAGATATGTTATATTTTTGGCTATTTCTCATGTAATTTTTCTAAAAAAAACTTACCAAGTATTTATCATTATTTAACATATGTCAATATGTCATATTTATCTTTTTTATAGACATTTAATGCCAAAAAAAAAAAAAAAAAAAAAACTAAAAAATAACTTTAGGGTATTTTTTTTTTCTGAAACTATAGAAGATAATAAAATTTCACATATATAGTTAGAGAAAGAAAAAACGATAAAATATTATGTGACTGCAATATTTTATAATATTTGATAAATTTATAACATTTTATAAAATATACACATTTTTATTTTGTTTATTGAATTAATTGATTAACTAATAAGCAAATCCAATATTGAAAGATAACAAAGGTATAAAATAAAGTGTTATTAAATATATGGATCAAATAATGACAAATCTTAAAAAAATTAAAATGTCAGAGAAAAATAGTAAAAAACTTTAGAAAAAACGTTTTTTTTTCAATGGTAAAAAGCTTTCAAAACCTTTTTTCAAATACTAAAAAACTTTAGCAAAAACTACCATCGAGAATGATCAAAGATCTAAAAAAAACATCTGAATTAGCTTATGTGGTGCCAAAAAGTAATAAGATGATAAGTTATTTTTAAATATTTGACAAGTTTGTGTGAATTAACTTATATGGTGCCAAAAAGTAATAAGATGATAAATTATTTTTAAATATTTGACAAGTTTGTTTATACGTGTAATAAGAAACCAACTAATCAAAAACTTATTATTTAAGTGAATAGGTGCTTTTAATATTCTCATATCCAAACAATTAAAATAACTTATTATTGATGACAAACCACAATAAATCATTAAACACATGAAATAAGTAATCTCAATCACCCATTAAATAAGTCCAACCCAATTTCAACTTATTTATCGAACATACAACCCATTCAATCATTGTGTCAAGTTGAGATTTCTCAACCTGTTTATTAAACATATTGATATGCCCAAACAAATAACACAACCTGAATTCATAGATAAGATATATAGATATAGATATACGATGATTTTAATTAAGTTTATATTAGTTCAAAATAAGATATGGGTCGGGTAGAGAAAAGAAGAGAAATCCATATGTTAACACAACAAATGGCAATTTGATATCAAAAATATATAAAATTTATAAAAATTAAGATGTTTGTTGTACACATTGACCACCACTCCACAATCTCTACCTGCAACTTTTCAAGAGGTAGGAAGATGGGCTTGTCAAACTTACACCACCACCACCACCCTTCCTTGGACTCCCACATTCACTAAAATCCAACACCCTTCTTTCACTCTGCAAAACATACAATAAATCTCAAATTATTAAAACAAAAAAAAAAGTGAAATATGCAAACCACAACCACTATCAGTGTGTGTGCCAGCTCAGGGGTTGCTGAAAGAATAACTTTTTTTTTACAGATATAATAATAGTTAAAAAAAAAAAGCAAAGAAAACAAACATACCGGAAGATTTGATTCTTGTCGAGTCTTTTCGCCTTTTTCTGAGAATCTTTTCTTTAGAATGGAATCAGGAGTTTCATCTCCCAAAACCTCCCGAGCATTTGCATATGCTGAAGCTGTATGTTCACTTAACTGTTTCATCAACCCAAGAGCATCATAGCTTCTTTCACCCGGACTCGTAAAGTAACCCATATCCTACAAACAAAAACACCACACAAAACATAAAAACAGAGGGTATTTTGGTCTTTTTGTTAAAATAAAACAAATTGTAATATTACCTCAACTGTAATATCTGTATCAACTCTTGGACCAGGCACAAAAGAGAACCAAGGTGATTTCCATGCAGAAGGTGATTCCAAACTTTTCCTGAATGGAGTTTCCCCAAATCTATACACAATGCACTTTCAGTTACAATCTGATTGAAATCAAATAGATTTTTTTTTTTTTTAAAAAAAAAAAAATGATACATACATTCCGGAGTTTTCAACCACAGCATCATCAACAGTAACTTCAAGAGGTTCTGATGATGAAGGGCAAGATTGTAATTGTACAGAGGATGCACCAAACCGACTTCCACCTCCCCCCTTGTTGTTTCTCTTTGAGCTCATTCTTCCAGGTGTTGTTCTAGCAGCACGTGGGCCCTTAGGTGTAGTATATAACTTGTTTGCAAATTTATCAGGAGAAAATAATAAATCATCTAAATTCTGTTCAACAACTCCTCCTCCTCCTCCTCCACTTGGATCTTCAACCTAACAAAAACTCAAAAACATGTTAATAACAATTCTTTCATAAAGTGATGTAAGTCATGATATTTCAAAACTCACTTTTGCTGTTGTGTTTGTGTTTTTGTTCCCCTCTTTTTGAGCTGCTGATAATTCATTATCATCTGGATTCAAATTTTCTTTATCTTTAGCCATGTTAAGAATCGAGACACATTCCACCTTTTTCCCACATCTTTTTTCAGATAAAGGCGACAACAATTCCCGATTTCTCTTTTTCATAATCGATGGTGTACACATAAAAGTCTTGGCAGCATTTTTCAACACCACTTCAGGAGGGTCATCGCGTGAAGGGGAGTCCCATAATCTACATGGACTGAAACAGCTCATTGATGATGTCATCATAAGTTGACGAATACCAAGTGGACTATATTCATGATGTAATTCTCCACCAGATTGTATCAAATCACAGCTAAAAAACGGAATGTCTGATGATGGAAACTGTGGTGGCTCATAAGATAGGAATCCTGGATTCATTTCTGTTTGTAAAGCATGGGATTCGTCATTTGATGGATGGGTTTGAGTAATGTTTTCTTGAAAACCACTGTTGTCATCAACTGATGGAAGAATTTGAGTGCCATTTACTTCTTCTTGTGCCCCTACATTATCTTGATCGTTAATGAAATGAGAATCAGTGGAATCAGGGATTCCGGAGTTGTAAATAAGTCCGGTGAATTCTTGGTTTCCAACAGAAAGAGCGTTAAATTGATCGGATGCAGTCCCCATCAAGAGAGAATAATATGATTCCGGATTTGAAGCGTCGGAATCAGGGATTCCGGAGTTCGGTTGTTGATAAAATAAGGAATCGGATGATCCTTCACGTGGGTGTGGATCCATATCAAAACCAACATCATTGTTCTGATCAACATCTATACACTGCAAGAAATCTGATTCCGATTCCACCCTCACAATCAAATCCGGGTTTCGCAATTCCGGTTCCTGTCTCAAAACTGAATCCGAAGTTGCCAATTCCGGGTCCTCTCTCAAAACTGAATCCGGGTTTTCCAATTCCGATTCCGTCCTCAACATTGTACTCTGAATTTGGAATTCACTGGAGGAAGGCTGCCCTTCTTCATTCCCACGATTCAAATTTTCTTGGGGATCATCTGTGGTGTATAGAACGATTGTGTCTGCCATGTCATCATCTACCACCATTTCTTTTGCCATGTCATGATGGGACTGTGATGAACATCTGACTAAAGTTGAGGGTTGGCTGCATTCAGAGATTTCCTCAAAATCTTTATGAATGCTATTATTATTGTCTCCACTACATTGTTGTGTTCTTGATGAAGTAGGAGTTGAGTGATTTGTATGAGTGACACATGGCAGACCTTGGAACTGAGTAAGCAAGCCTGATGCCAGGTAGGATTCCAGTTTCTTTTTAACTGAACTGTTCCAATGATTCTTGATAGCATTATCTGTCCTGAGACCCAATTAACAACAACAACAACAAAATGTTTCAATAATGTTTTACTTTTACCAATTTATGCAACAATAAAAAGTGTAGTATTTTTTATACTGTAGAATATATAAAACTTGTTATATTGTTGTTGAATATAAAATACCTCCCAGGCAAGAACTTAGTGAGCTCAGCCCATTTATTTCCATAAGATTGATGAGCTTTAATCAACATCAACTCCTCTTCTTGAGTCCAAGCCTCCTTGTTTATGGCAGGATTCAGATGATTATGCCACCTGGATATATTAATTATAAAACCCTTAAATTTATTTGGCTATTTATCATCCTACTTTTAATTCTTTTCTCATTACAATGTTTTTCTTTGAAAATTTACTCATTTATAGCAATGTCATTCAATTACAGCAACTTTTGCTGATATTGGATGTATTTTTACAAAGTCAACTGATAATATATATATATGATCTAATTACATATTTAAATAGTCAAACACACACACACACACACACATGAATATAAACTGCAGTAAGCTTACCTCTCACGACACTGCTTACCAATGCGACCAGGTAACTGTTGTGCAATGGTTGACCATTTTTTGGGTCCATATTGCTCTACTAGTTGAAGTAATTCTTCATCTTCCTGACATTTGTTAAGAATACAATGGATATTATTATGTTGTACAAAAATAAATATGAAACTAAATGTCGATACAACATTATATGACTCACCTCTTTTGACCAAGGGCCTTTAACAAGTTCT